TGCATGCGGCTGCCCCCCTTTTTCTGTGGCCGTTTGCGGTTCGGTACGCGGCGCATCAGATCAACCTTCACCCCAGGGTCTCCATGCCGGAGACCTCCCCAGCCTTGCTGTGGACGGGAAAGGTTGGCGATGCGTCTGCGTTCCGTGTCTGGGGATCTCGGGCGTTTGTCCGCGACTTGTCTGCGGACAAGCTGTCCCCTCGTGCTGCTCCTTGCGTCTTCCTTGGCTTCCCCCCTGACGCGCCAGGGTGGCAGTTCTACCACCCCACCTCTCGCCGTGTTCTGTCCTCCCAGGACGTCACGTTTGACGAGTCGGTCCCCTACTACCGCCTCTTCCCCTACCGCACTCCGTCCCTCCCCCCGCCACCGCTCTTCCTTGTACCAGGTCCCCCCCCGGTAGACCCCCTCCCCCCTCAGGGTCCTGCCCCTTCAGGTGTGTCCCAGGTAGACGCAGTCGAGCCTGTCGAGGTTACTGGTGACTCTGGTGCTGCTGAGGGTGCTGAGCCTGGGGGTGCTGACTCTGGGGGTGCTGAGCGTGTGGGTGCTACGCCTGGGGGTGCTGAGCCTGAGGGTGCTACTACTGGGGGTCCTGAGCCTGGGGGTGCTGAGCCTGGGGGTGCTACTACTGGGGGTGCTGAGCCTGGGGGTGCTGAGCCTGGGGGTGCTACGCCTGGGGGTGCTGAGCCTGGGGGTGCCACGCCTGGAGGTGCTGAGCTTGGGGGTGCGGAGCCTGAGGGAGCTGGGCCTGCTCGTGTGGCGTCTGGCGGTGCTGAGCCTGGAGGTTCTCCGGGTGCTTCGTCTCGGCGGGAGCCACTCTCTCCACAGGAGCTGCGCGAGTGGTTTGCCCGGCGCTGGAGGCGTGCTGCTGGAGCTGGAGGTTCTTCGGCTGCTGAGGGTGCTGGTGCCGCGGGTCCCGGAGGTGCTCGTCCTGGGAGTACTGGAGCTGCTGGGCCTGCGGGTACGACTGGAGCTGGAGCTGCTGAGGGTGTTGGCGCTGAGGCTACTGCTGCCGGTCCTGGAGGCGGTCCTGCTGGGGGTGCTACTGGTGCTGCTGGAGGTACTGGAGCTGGAGGTGCTGCTGGCGCTGGTGCTGCCGCTGGGGGTACTGGTGCTGTCCCTGCTGTGTCTGGAGTCGCCGCGCGGCCTCGGCCGTACTTCGTTCCGCTCCTTCAGCAGGTTCTTGGTCTCCCGCCTTCTACTGGTCCTCCTCCTCCCTTAGAGTGTCCACAGCCTGTCCCGTCCCAGTTACAGTTACAGCCGGCTTCCACACTGCCCGCTCCTTCTCCCTACACTGGTCCTACTGGAGGTCTGGCCGAGCGTCGTGAGCCTGCGTCTCGCCCTGCGTCGCCTGTCCGTCTTGCTCGCACTAGTGGCCGTGGTTCGCGTCAGCGTCCTCCTCCTGTCCCTGGCACGCACCGGATGTCTCTGCGTCCGTCCACTGCTCCTCTGCGTGCCCCTTTGCCTTCTCCTCCTGAGTCCTCTCTTCCTGCTCTTCCCGACTCGGAGTCGGACTCTCTTCGTGCTGCCAGTCCTACTGTCACGCGTCTCCTGGCTACTGTCGTCACTGACCCTTCCTTTGAGTCCACTGCTGCGTCTGCCCTAGTTGCTGAGCTCGTCGACTTTGCTGCTCGCTGTCGTCTAGACTACGCTGCTAGTCTTGTCGTTGAGTCTGAGTCTGTCTGTCCTCCGTCCGTCGGGGGTGAGTGTGCCCTTGGCACGGACGTCCTTGAGGACAGGCAGGAGGAGTTCCAGTGTTTGGCTGCTGCTTCACCTCATCTCGTGTCCGTACTGCTTACCCCTGAGGGAGACCCGGATGCACTTGACATCCCGACTCCGCGCTCTTACGCGGAGGCGATAGAGGGTCCCTACTCCTCTCAGTGGCAGGCAGCTATGGACGCAGAGATGGCTTCCTGGAAGTCCACAGGCACCTACGTTGACGAGGTTCCCCCGCCTGGGGCGAACATCGTCAGTGGCATGTGGATTTTCAGGGTGAAGCGGCCGCCGGGTTCTCCGCCTGTCTTCAAGGCGCGTTACGTGGCTCGTGGCTTCAGTCAGCGGCAGGGAGTTGACTACTTTCAGACCTTCTCTCCCACCCCGAAGATGACCACTCTTCGGGTACTGCTGCACATAGCTGCTCACCGCGACTACGAGCTGCACTCTCTTGACTTCAGCACTGCTTTCTTGCAGGGCAGCCTGCACGAGGAGATCTGGTTGCGTCGCCCACCTGGCTTCACTGGGTCTTTTCCTCCTGGCACCCAGTGGAGCCTCCGGCGGCCAGTCTACGGTCTCCGCCAGGCACCGCGTGAGTGGCACGACACACTGAGGACTACTCTTGCGGCTCTTGGGTTTGCTCCCTCTACTGCTGACCCGTCGCTGTTTCTGCGCACCGACACTTCTTTGCCGCCGTTCTACATCCTCGTGTACGTCGACGACTTGGTCTTCGCCACAGCTGACACTGCTGGACTCGCCCACGTGAAGTCCGAGCTGCAGAAGAGACACACGTGCACAGACCTGGGTGAACTGCGCAGCTACCTTGGCTTGCAGATCACCCGGGACAGAGCACGCCGCACCATTACCCTGACTCAGTCACACATGGTGCAGCAGGTCCTTCAGCGCTTCGGCTTCACGTACTCCTCGCCTCAGGCCACTCCTCTGCCTACTCGCCACTCGCTCTCAGCTCTGCCTTCGGATGAGTCCGTAGAGTCGAGTGGCCCGTACCCAGAGCTTGTTGGCTGCCTCATGTACCTGATGACCTGCACACGACCTGACCTTGCATACCCTCTTAGCATTCTCGCACGCTATGTTGCTCCTGGGAGACACAGACCGGAGCACATGGCTGCAGCGAAGAGGGTGTTGCGCTACTTGTGCAGTACGTCGGGCATGGGGCTTGTGCTTGGAGGGCAGAGTCTAGTGGTCCTCACTGGGCACGCAGACGCTTCTTGGGCTGACGACCAGGCTACACAGCGGTCGTCACAGGGTTACACCTTCAGCCTTGGTTCCGGCTCTGTTTCGTGGCGGGCTACCCGCTCGTCTTCTGTTCTCGGCTCCAGTTGTGAGGCTGAGATCCATGGCTGCACAGGAGCTTCGCTGGCTCACCTACCTGCTGACTGACCTCGGAGAGCCGCCTCGTTCTCCTCCAGTGCTGTACGTAGACAACAAGGCCATGCTGGCCTTGTGTCGAGAGCAGAGACTGGAGCACAGAACGAAGCACATTGCTCTCCGTTACTTCCTTGCTCGTGAGCTACAGCAGCGTGGTCAGCTACGGCTTGCGTACGTGGCCTCTGAGGCCAACACTGCTGATATCTTCACCTAGGCACTTGCGCCTTGTGATCATCAGCGCTTCTGTACTCAGCTGGGTCTTGTGCCTACCTTGCCTCACTTGCTCACCTCTTGACCTTGTTTGTACTGTTGCATATATATATACACCTGCTCTTGCTTGTCTAGCCTTATATATATATGTAATCCTGCATGTGAACTGGCCTTGTGGCCTTGAACTTGTGCTCGGAATGTGTGGTGACTTTGTGATCCACCCTGAGCTTGCTTTGCTTTGCTTGACTGGTCTTGTGACCCCTTGTTCTCCCCCACTTTGCCTATGGGGGTGTGTCAGATTTTTATGACATAGCTACTGTAGGCTATAGTGGGGTAGCACATATGGGGTACAGTTTTCTAGGGTTTGCTTTTGTACCCAACTTTCCCTTAGTCAATCCATTCCTCATTTCTTCACAACTTTTTCCCAGTTACCCTTTTCAAAACAGGGTATCAAACTTTTTACCCTAGAGCAAACAGGCTAAGTTTCGGTTTACACTGATGGCGATTTTGGTTACCCTGGTGGTACCAGGGTACATTGCACATTACACTGATACCGAATCCTCTGTAGCGAGGTTTTTCCTTGTGATGCCGCAGAACTTCAAGACGGCGCTGGATTTCGAACTTGCGTTCTTACAATATGTAGCCTAACATCTCACCAGTTGAGGCACAAATTACAACTCAAGGTATGATAATTCGTACACTGTCATAATCAGTGTACAAGTTTTTTTAGGCTGTTTTTTGCAGGGTATGAAAAATTTTACCCTTTGAGTCAGGGTAGAGCTGGCATGAAACCCTGATTAGTCAAAGGTGGACCAAAACCAATTTTGGGCCCTGGCTCCCACCTGAACACAATTCCTATTTATTATGGAGATTGCACCTGAAAATGGCCCTTCTTTTGCGGACGGTAAACCAATCGGGCAGCTGTAAACGAGCAGTGGTAGAAGAACACGTGCAGGTCATGCTACCATATTGGGCGGGGGAAATGCTGCAGTTTGTGGCTGACTGATACTGTAAACTATTTTACGCAACCATAAATGCTACATGCAATACAAAGTGGCATGCAAAAGAGAATAAACTATAATCATGTGCAGGTGGGATTACAGGGGTGTTTACAGTCAACAAGGGCGACACTCTGCCTGTTAAAGAACCAGTCTCCCACTGCCTCTGCCATTGTCCGTGGGGGGGATAAGAAAGGGTGCAGAGGGGAAAATAATTGGAAAGACACGAATAATGCATGTGAGCTATGGAATACATATGGAAAACTACAGTAATTATACGGGAAAAGGTATGAACAATGTCAGAATCTCAACCACTAGACCATTGGGATAAAAGTGCTTGTTAAGTAGCGGTTCAATGCGTCCATAACCCCCCAGGCCAACATGCCTGTAACCCTTCTCTATGATCAATCGGGGATCACCAATGGACCTCTGACAGACAAGAGCGTACCTTGTTGTGTATTCGTGGGGCGGTGCTGCCATGCCACATGGGACCCATTGCCTGTTACACAGATTGCAAGAGATGGATGAGAATTCTCAAAAAGAATTCTAAGAACTCCCATTGAGAGTATGGGAGGGTGGAGTTGAAGGCCTCTGATAGTTTCGGCTGGGCTGGGTTGGGTTGGATTCGGTACGGTTCGGCGGGGCTGGGTTGGGTTGGAAAAGGTGGGACTGGGCGGGGCTGGTCCCCAGGCAGCTGAGCGTGCCCCTGGGGGTGCTGCTGGGCTTCGCTCTGCTCGGTAACGCCAGCCTCGTCGCCACCAACCTCTCGCTCCTCCTCAACTTCGTCGGCTTCTACCAGGTGAGCTTATAACGAGTCACGATGTTCAGCTTGTAACGAGTCACATTGCTGAGGTGGCTGGTCTAGTTACCATCAGCTTCTTTCCGTCTGTACCCTCGCCACCTGTCTCACCTGCTGCATGTGTTTTTCCCCGGCCGTTCTCAACCATAGATCTCCAAGGTCAGCATCATCCCGGCCGTCTGTTTCTTCGAAGCTGTCTTCAAGGGGCGATCGTTCACCCCGCGGGTGAAAGCAGCCGTGGCAGTGGTGATGCTGGGAGTGGCTCTCTGCACTGTATCGGAGATCCATGTCAACCCGCTGGGGCTGGCTGTGGCGGCCTTCGCTGTTCTCTGCTCCGCCATGCATATGATGGTAGGCTTTTGATACTTGATTTGAGGTGACTCAAAGAGGTGGTCATGCTGGGCGTGGCTCTCTGCACTGTCTCTGAGATCCATGTGAACCCACTTGGACTAGCTGTGGCGGCCTTTGCCGTGCTCTGCTCTGCCATGCACATGATGTTTGATGTTTTATACATGAGCTGCCTCAACATGCACTGTCTGCATGGGAGAGTGGCTCTCTGCACTGTCTCGGAGATTCATCTCAATCCGCTGGGTCTAGCTGTGGCTGCCTTTGCCGTGCTCTGCTCTGCCATGCACATGATGGTACGATGCCTTGCTTTCTTGATTTGGCGCTGCACTGTGCATGTGCTGATGGTATGGTGGTGCGCTGCCATGCACATGTTCATACGGTTAGATAATCGAAGCCCAGCAGCATCCCGCTCAAGAATTGACATACTTTCTTCTCCCCATTCTTACTTATTTCATACTCTTTTCTCCATACTCTCCTTCTCCCCATGCTTTCAGCTGATTGGTCTGCTCCAAGAACGATACGCCATTGGTTCCTTCGATCTCCTCAGCCAATCAGCCCCTATCCAGGCGTTCATGCTGCTCCTCATCGGCCCTTCCCTCGACCTCCTTCTCACCTCCCGCTCTCTTCTCGACTACCACTACCAGCCCTACGCCATTGTGAGTTAACGCTCTAACTACCCAGAGTGCTACTCTGGGTGATAGTCGCATCCCTCTGCTTTCAATTCCCCCGATCTCTCGACCTCCTTCTCACCTCCCGCTCTCTCCTCGACCACCTCTACTAGCCCTATGCCATTTTGAGTAGACTCATACTACCCAGGGTGCTGCCCTGAGTGATTGTAGCATTCCTCTACCTTCATTCCTCCCCTCTCCTTCGACCTCCTCCTCACCTCCCGCTCTCGTCTCGACTACCACTACCAGCCCTACGCCACTGTGAATCGGCTAACGCTGCTTTCGAATTATCGTATTCAAGCTCCTTCTTTGCTGCTTGCTGCTCGCTCCTCGACGGTCCTTTCCTCAACCCCTCCCTCACCTCTCGCTCCCTTGTTGACCATCTTGCAAATAAAAATCTCCTTTTCCGTTTTCATGTTTCCTTTCCCACTCAGCTCTTCATAACGCTCTCTTGCTGCCTAGCCGTGGTCTGCAATCTCAGCGCCTACCTCTGCATCGGGAAATTCTCCGCCTCGACTTACCAGGTGTTAGGCCACATGAAGACCGTACTAGTGCTCGTGCTGGGAGTGGTGCTATTCGACTCTGCCATCTCCCTTAAAGGCATCCTCGGTATGTGTATAGCGGTCACAGGAATGGTTATGTACGGCCATGCTACTGCCACGCAGGCAAGTGCTCCAGGAGCAGGAGGGGGAGGGGGAGGAGGAGGAGCAGCGGCAATGGAAAGAAGAGTGGGGCGAGGAAAGGGAGAAGCAGGCATGGCAGGGGGGGAGGAGAATGAAAGGGAAGAGATACCATTACTCAGTATTGTGGTGGGTTCAGAGGAGGACGAAGAGGAAGAGGAGGATATGGACGAGAGGCGAGATGATGAGAAGGGGTTACTGAGGAAGCAGAGTAATGATAGTTATAGAGCGGGTGGGTTCAAGGATGGGGCAAGAAGGGCAGTGGAGACCTCTGAAAAGCCGATCCAGAGACCGGAGGTTTCGTCAGTCGGACTCGTGGTGTTACCACACCCACAAAGGTTACCGGATTCAAGAATACAGCATCCACGAATGCAGGAGCTGATGCTCACGATGGCATGGAGTGGAGGGGAGGGAGGGAGGGATTTCGAGCGGGAATCGTCAAGTTTCTCCGAAGGATCGGTTGTTTCTGAAGGGTCGGTTCTGTCAGATGAGTCGAGCTTTTCAGAAGAATGCAGGAGCTGATGCTCCTGAGTCACGATGGCATGGAGAGGAGGGGAAGGAGGGATGAGCTTGTTGAGAGAATCATCTTGGAGCCTTTCTGAAAGATCACTTGTTTCTGAAGGTTCGGTTTCCGAGGAGTCAAGCTTTACAGAGGAGAGGAGAGATGTGTTTGATTGGGTGGGAGCAAGCAGGAGTGGAGGACGCTGCTGATAAGGTTGGTGGGGTAGTGAAACAATAGAACAGGTTTTTTTCCTTAGCAGAAAAAGGGAAAAGGGGAATAGGAAGCTGGAAAGTGTCCAGGCGAATCAAATTCTCCTGGACCAGTTTTTTTTATTATTGAAGTCTTCAAGTCAAGGTCTGAAAATTCTAGTGAATCCAAATCATGCAAATGCAGCAGTTTATGTTCATCGATTTGTTGCACTCTTCTGCGCCTCACACACATTGGGCTGGATATTTGTAGCCTTGGGGTTGGCTGGCGTAGATGCTGAATGTCAACAACCAGCAATGAGCCTGTATGTCAGTGAAATTTATCAAGGAATTTCATGGCATTCAATGGACAAGACACGGGAGTACACATCACTTCACGCGGAAGCGGTGAGTTATAAAATGCCTCAGACCCGCCATATCATCCATGCTGACAAACTTGCCAACATTCTGCCACCCGTCGAATAACAAGAAAGCCGGCTCGCGGATATAGTACTCCGCGCTATTCTTAGGGTTCTCGTCAATATCCAGGTTGAAGAAGGCTAGATTCGTGTGTTCCTCCGCGAGGCTTTCGAACATAGAAAGCATCTTCACGCAAGAGGCGTCCGATTTTTTAGAAAAGAAGACCACGGCTGGACGCTTACTCTCGTAAACGATACCAAAATTCGAATCCGTAAACTTGGTGACCATTGTCGCCGAGGAATCTGCTAACGGGGTATGGAAGTGAATGAAGATACTAAACGAGTGAAGACCCGGAAGTGATAGCAGCTACTTGGTGTTGGGAGCTGGTTGAGACTGATAAAAGGCGGGCTCCATCATGGAGAGGAGAGCGGATATAACGCCCCACCACCCGCTGGGTCGAAACGGGAGTTACATTTGAGGCGCAACGGATTGCTTCAACTCGTCGTGTAAGCCCAAAGACGTTACAGCGGATTTGCAGCCGGGAAGAGATGCAGCGAGAGTGAAGAGAACTATGCTGAAGATTGGGAACCTTCGATCGTGCTTTCAAAAGACGCCAAGGCGTGTTTTCTTTCAATGTTCCCATTTCTGACTATCGCGAATGCATTGGCGCCGCAAGAGTCAGGATGCGAGAGCGAAAACGGAGGCGAAACATCTGCGAGGTAGCAGTTTCCATTTTATGAAAACAAAAAAACTCATGGCGGGCCTAGCACACAGAGAGACTCGCAAAAGGATTCGTGCAGGCAAAAATGTATTCGCATGCCGTCGCACGTCCGCGAGATTCTGTGGGAGGAACGGGAGAAGCAGGCTTCGCAGGGGGAAGGAAAATGCAATTGGGTCGCAGTTCTTTGTTGCGAACTCCTGTAACCCAGGTTTATTCGCCAGATGTTTCTGTTGTTTGTGTCACGGAACGCGAGGCAGGGGCTTCGTTGTGCCATCAAGAATCGTGCATCAGAACTCAACCAGCGTTTCATGGCACGTTGGACCATTCAAAATGTGTCGTGTGAACGAACGTGTTACAGTGTACCTACGTGCGACGTTCGTGGCTGCTTAGATTCGCGGGGCTCACGCTCCCGCTGCTAATTCGACCATCCCTCTAGGCAATTCGCCAACCTGTGTTCGCTGGCCATCCAACTGCGGTATTGTTCGTCACCGGGCAACCTGTGATAAAGCGACGTGAGCATAAAAAATATGACGTGAGCATCAAATTTCGTCAGCGAGAAGGGTAAATCTCGACTCCCTCCTTGAACGCCGCGTCGCCAGCCTTGTTTGCCAGCCCACCCTTGCAACTCTTTCACCGCAAGTTTGGTGGTGGTATGTGATGCGAGGCAATGTGTGAGTGGACATGATTTCCCAATTGTCTAGTCCAGTATCATTCAATTGTGTCATCCTATTTCGAGGAACCAGGTCACATTAATAATTAGGGAGATCATTCAACAGAGTTGGGATGAGAGAGAAAAATATAATGTAGCGGGGGAACGATGGAAGTGCCATAAGCAACGGGAAGGACGAGGGAAGAGAAAGCGACGGCCCGTCGCTTCCTCGCTTTCGCGAAGCGACGGTGGAGCAGGGCAAACGAGGCAGCGAAGGAACGATGGACCGACAGGAGCGACGGGAGAGAGAGGAGCGACTGGAGAGACAGGGCGACAGTAGCGATGGTCGCGAGGGGAGTGGGAGCGAGTAAGAAAGCGACGGGCGGCGGCGCGAGCGACAGAAGCGGCGAGCACCGGGGTGCGAGGGGATTGCCGGTGAGAAATCGGCGGCGATGAGAACAAGAGGGGAGCGGTGGGAGCGATGGGAGAAAGCATTGAGAGAACGAAAAGCGGGAAGCAAAGGAGATTGGCGTGAGGGGGGTAAGAGGTAGCTGGACGTGAGAGATGGCAATCAATTCCTGCTCGTACCGTTCGTTGGACTACACCGTGCCAGACTTGAAGTTTGACGTAGTGTTGTACCTGAGTGTGATCTCGCGGCCGATTGGGTGGCGGGTTTTGGGCTTTATCGCGATCCCTTCCCATTATTTCCAGCTCCTCTTAGACCGCTTCATGACAGCATCGTCAGTCAAGCGCGACATTTCACCATCCGAGACTCCCTGTAAGAATAACAGAGCCTTGCGCTTTGAAATACAATCCTTGATCCAATCAATTCGATTTTTCAACAGTGATCGAGAGTGTTCTTTTCCTGCTAGGGGAGCGGACTACGAAAGCGAAGCTCGACATTCTCCCTCCCCCCTCAGCCAGCCATTGATACACAGAATTGTTGGGATTATAATCAACATTTGGGAGCTTCTTCCAAAAAACGCTACCATGGACGCTGAAGGCGAAACGAACGTCATAAATAGCAGAAACTTGCAGCTACTAGACTCCATCGCACATCCTGTTTATTTGTTTTCTGATGTCATCGTGCCTTTTGCTGCTTGAATGTCTTATTTGGGGCGCACATACGCAGTCGCTGGGAATGACTTATTCGAGGCGCCTTGATGTGTGAGGTTCGACGTCAGAGACTGATGGCAAACACAGGTAACTGAAAAATTTTCCCTTTATTTCACAAAATTAACATGCAGCGAGCATGATAGAAGCACAAGATTCCTCGCACGATTTCACAAAATTGACATGCAGCGAGCATTGAGACCACGCGATGCTTCACACGGCGAGAGAGATTCTCTCCACGAATTGTTCGAGGGCAGTCGGACGTGTGATACCAACCAGCTCGCCCACTTTCTGCCCTTCTTTGAAGACCAAGAAAGCCGGCAAGCTGAAAATCCCACACTCCTGGTTCGTCTGCGGGTTCGCGTCGCTATCCAGCTTATAGAACGTAAACTTTTCCGAGTTATTCTCCGCGATGTTTTCGTAGATTTGGAGCATTCTTCTGCAAGGGCTTGACCATGCCGCGGAGATGCAGACCAGGGCCGGACGCTCGCTTTCCAGGATTTTAGACTTGAATTCCGAACCCGTCAGCGTTTGAGCCATCGTCAGAGACAGGCCGTCGATGGAGATCGAAAAAAATGAGGCTGTGAGGCTGAACAATGCGCTGATGGAGTGGGAAGAGATGAAGCTTACTACTTGCTTGGTAAGCTCAAAGTGAGCCGCAAAGGAATGACTGCTGGAGGTTTCTGATAAGAATGAAACTCCACCTTCGGAAAGTGGAATAAGTAGCCGCATGGACGAGAGCCGAGAGAGGAAAAAGCAGGAGTTGTTGTGGGAACGAGAGATTAGAGCGGAGCCCGTTGGTTCACGACAAAACGCCGGCGGCACGTCAGCGAGTCGCCACGACTGAGGCTTGAAAGTTTTTGAAGGTAGGTCTTCTAAATGTCGAGAACAAAATATGTCTTTCAAAAAACACGGTGTGCTGGCTACACTTGACATTGCGCTTCATTTCTAGGGAGCGCTGCCGGCTGTTTGTTAGATTGGCCGGCGTTTATGTTGTGAAGACATCTACTGTCTATCAGCGACAATTGCCTCTTTTTTTCGCGCTGGTGTACCGTATTCCCAACAGGTGCACTGCAGTGCACAGCACACCACACTGTTGAGGAGCTGGACCACCCCTTCAACTAACTGGCTGTCAAGAAAGAATGGATCCGTCAAGACCACGTCAGCATAAATGCCATTGAATATGCGTCGCGAGAGAAACTGCCACGCTGGACAACATGGGAGAGAAGTTAAGGGCTGGTTGAGACGTGGATTACGTGAATTGCCTCTTGACTAGCGCACGTGTGGAGTTCTAGAATCGAGCACCAGCGATATGGAAGCAGCGTTGCCGCGAAAATATTGCACAACATCTTGACATCCAAATCAAATGGCCGCAAAACATGGCAATAATTGGAGTAGAGATTGTACAGTAAATAGTGCAATTGATTAATCAAGCTAAAGATTGCACTAAGGAGAAAAGTACAAATGTGAGAAAAGGCATGAAAACATTTCTAGAGGAGAAATAAGCAGACGGTAACGCCGGCTTGCGAGCTAGCTAGTTTTGGACTAGTCCCGAAGCGTAGGCCGGCTCGGCCAAGTACAGTAGTGCCTGGTTTGGTAAAATTGGCGAGCGGAATGGCAAATACCGTTGAATATTAAGGGGCGGAAACTGTTAGAAGTTGTACGATTTACGCAGGTGCACGGTAAGGAATCCGGGAATTTTTCTCTTGGTACCTGGTGACGAAATCCAAGGTCAATTTATGACAGGCGCGTTCGGGTGGCAGGATCGGCTGTATTTGTCATGCCTACTTATTCCGCGCATATTTCATCACTTCGCACGTGAGGCACAATCTTACATGGTGCTGCATGCCCGTTAGCAGCTCCGGCCAATACTAATACCGCTGCAGTTGTTTTTGTCAGAATTTTAGTTATTATACCATTGGGATAAAAGGGCTTGTTAAGTAGCGGGTCAGTGCGCCCATAACCCCCCTGGCCAACA